AAACAAGCCAGCTTACACATGTCCTAAAAATTACAAAATACTGTCCAAAAGAGCGCTAATTGTACAATACGTAACCTCACACTTTGGATACTTTGTATTTTGCACCCTTCCAATGTCCTCTCGTACCGGACGCGCACCAAAACATGTTCAGATATCTCTGAGGGAAGTTCCGACTCGTTATGGAGCAGTTACTGGTTATCCGTGCTCAGAGAATGGTGAAAACTGTCTCTGGAGTATCTAATTGCGCGGAATGTCTAGGCCAGCCTGTTTGCTGGCTGCAATAGCGCCATGCTTACAGCGATGATGGCACATAAATGACGACCCTGACGAGCTCGCATATATCACAGTGCAGCTGGCCCGACCAGAGAAATTTGCGGTTCGTCCGCCAGCGAAGATTTAGAACGCTGCAGCTGCTCATAAAAATACAATAAAACGTCTTTTGTCCAATTATAAGTTAGCTTCGATATTCATGGGTCCTTGAGAGTTATTGCCGAGGGTGATTTGTTCCAGAAACCGGATATTTTAATCCACGTCATCATCGTATGAATAGATACAACCAAAGAATAGACTGGGATGCGATGGGATGCTCTGAGAATTCGACGTTAGGGTAGATGGAAACAGTTCTTTTTTATGCGGAAACGCCTTGGGTAGATACCTAATGGTAACTCACTATAGCCTATAATAAGTGTTCCTGAAAGGCATTACCTACCTAGCGCCACTACACAGGACGCTCCCGCAGTAAGTCTATCCCGCTGAGTGATGACGGTGTTTTGCACGTGTACTGAATGCACAACTGTTTCAAGCATTTGCAACAGGACGCAAATGGTTGGTGGAGAAATGATTATACTACACGGTGCTTCAGATGTCAACCAAATAAATCATCAAGCAACCCAGTTAGTCAATAGTCATACACTTCGAGTGATTGAAAATTAACAAAGGTGCTCAATGCTCACATATAGACACGCTCGTTCAGTAAACAACCAATGAATATGATTACCGTTTCTAAGAGTCACATAAAGCCGCGGCGCCATATGAAGAAAACGTTGATCATTTTCACAAGAACGTTAATTAAGTGAATTATCATTAATTGATAATTGCTCACAGTTCATTATTACTTAATTAACTACATGCATTGGCCTCCTCACCTTTCCTCTGCACCAAGAGTCGCTGATAGTCCTCCGTTCCTCCTCCAGTCGTCCTGTCGTTCCTCGGATCCTCGAGTCCTCGGTCCTCTGGCACGTCTCTTGCCGCCACCGCCCGCCGCGCCAGCCCGTCACCGAATGACGCGTTTATCACATCTCGTTCACCGCCCCGCTGCCGGCTACCGTTCAAGCACGTGTGCCCCCCGCACCGAGCCGGCCGGCCGGCCGGCCGCCGATCCGCGGAGCGCCCGTTCGTGTTCGGTGCTTCTTACAATCGGATCTGGCGGCCAAACATCCGGCGTCCGCTCTCGGTCTGTCGCAGATGGAGCGGCCAGTGAGTGGTCACTGCAGCTGAGACGCTGCTTACGTAACGCCGAACCCACGGTGGCCGGTGGCTGACGGTTTCGCCCATGTGTAAATGTGACAGCTGCTTGCATGCAACGTCTTGGTCTGTTTGGGGAGTTTATGGGGTGCTTTCTCTTGCTGGAAATTAGGTTGTGAGTTCGATGCCGCAGATTTGTGAGTGTTGACCATCATTGTTTTCTGTGTAGTGACGTTCTAAGCAGATTGCTTTTGGGAGCAACTTTCATAAACCTTTTGCAAGTGTCCTGTGTGCAATAAGCTAATCGGATCACAGGCGCAAGAATGTTGTCGTTGACCCTGTGGTCATGTCCGGCCCGTAGTTGTGTTGGTAAATACATTTTCGACTGATGTAATTAGGTACTGATGGTTTTAGCAAAACATTTCTTTTAATATCAACAACTGATTTGAGCGATGTACAAATAGGTACCTAAAGCACCTGCACGCATTTCAGTCATGCTAGAATATCTTTGAAATAATTCAGGCCGCTTAGATTGGCGTGAATGACATCGTGAATGAGATAATTATACATGCTGGTTTTTACTTGGCCTGGATGTTTTCAAACTTATTGGCACCCCCTCCTGAAATAATAATAATTATTTATGTACTGGACCGATCGTTTTCGCACATATCTTTACTCACTTTTTGCTTCTTCCCCATTGCTCTCTGTAGTTTTTATCCATATTTTAAACTATGTATAATTGCCTAATGATACCTTACTCCCCACGGGGAACGTTCTTGAACCATAATTCAAAGTTCCAATGACGGACGAGTGTTGCTATTGGAACTCTATCGGCCGTCTAGCGTTCTCGGGTCGCATCGCTGCCATGGATGCTGACTCAGGCCGAGCTCAGGCCGAAAGACGGCTGCCCTGCATGTATGGGCATGGGGCTCCGTCAGCTGGTATCATCTTACTTACCCGGACATGGGGGACACGCTAGGAATGAGTCTGCTATAGGATGAGTGACAACCTTCTTTCCTTCTGGTATTTTATATTTTCGTTTTATACAGTTGTCGAAAGAAAATATGAAAGAAAATGTATGAAAGAAAATATCCCAGGTCATGGTTACGTAAATATGCTTGTGGAAGGCCGTGTACCTACACCTCTATTGCATTCGACTTGTAGGTACAATTTTCGTAAGGCAGTGCTCATTTTATTCTACGTGCTATATTCCCATTGACGGTGCATTCAAAGTCATTGAAGGCGCTACAGCAGCCCTTTATCCACCACAAACTGCAAAGCTCCGCACCCTTTTTCCGCTCCAGACAAACCAAACTCCGGGCCCGGGCAGTATTTTTACCATTCGTGTCCCAGAACAGGCCGACCGTAACCTGAAAGAACGCTCCCCAGTTTGTCCGGGTGCTGCGGTACAGTATAACTTCAGGCGTTTTGCCTGCTGCCATCTAGCGGCAGCAATATAAGTTCACACGCCGCCGGCTGTTGCGTGCTGTCTGTTTGCCCGATGTCAGAATATGCTGAAATACGGAACGACATCTGAATGGCGAGTCCAAAGCAGCTGAATACGCCATTTTGGTAAGAAATGTTTCTCAATTATGTCTGCCAATGTGCGACTCAATTTACGGCCTTTATAGGTACTTACCTAATTATTAACAGACGAGAGGCAAGTGGCTGCAGAAAATCATTGCTCCAGTTATACCTAATTGATAGGTATACGAAAATCGTCCCACTGGGTTCTGTTGATAACTCGTATCAATGCTGCAACACGAAATGGCGCTCTTAATTTACGATGATGGTGACTACATAGAAATACCTAAAAGTTATTTATTTCAAATGCATCGCACTCGCCACCCATGAATGAACTTGAGTAGCCATTTTGTTTTACACCCAGAGGTGGTTCGGTAGTGTTACCATGTAGTGCCGGTGGGAGAACACAGAGCAGCCGGAAGCGTCAGGTTATCTTTCTGCCGCTAGATGGCAGCAGGCGAAACGCCTGAAGTTATACTGTCCCGCACAGCCTGAGCCAACGGGGCGCGCTCTCTCGCAATACGCTTGGGGTTGGCAGAGGGCAAAGTACCTACGGAGCGATGCTTTTTAGGGAGGATTGTGAATAAAAGCGCATTCATGAAGTCTTTTTTGCCATCAAATGGGACAGGAAACCAAACACAATTTTAGCAGTACCTAAGTGCCCAAAGCTCCTTTCCACGATAAGCCTTCAATAAACGACCGGATGTTTGGAACGCTTGCCGTCCGTCTTGACTATGAATCTAACCGTCGACGGACGAGTCTGAATGTGTGAGAATCTGATTTCTCTATTGGTAGCGAATTTCCGTGAAAATCGCAGATAATCATTGACCTTCAGCAGCAGCATTACAATTCATAAAAAGCAACGTAAGGAAGCATAAAGATACACTATCAATGAACCTCGGTGTAGCAAAATATGTATTTTTTATGACGTGATTTTTTACACAGGCATCCAAGTCACAAAGCTTACGCCCCAGCGCAGCGGTGCGTATTTGTTCACAAGACGACACTGATGGACGGTGATAGCAGTAATGCACATCATTTGCTACACACTTGATTATTTGAATCAGACAAATTAATTCGTATATGATGTAAGATAAAAACACCAAAACCACCAAACGTTTCGTGTTATTCACTTTTTTTCAAGGGGTGATATCACCCTTGAAAAAGTGAATAACACGAAATGTTGGGTGGTTTTGGTGTATATATCTTACATAATATAGCTACACACTTGTTATACACGTGATTTTCCCGACGCGACATACTAATTATCTAACTACCATGAGCCATATGCATGGGCTGCAGCAACTCTTGTCTCAATGACATCGGCACAGGGAGAATCAGCAGCACAGAAACTCAATAAAATCTTTCGGAAATGCTGCCTGGATTCTCTTTGAGCCTACAGCTGTGAGTATTTCTGGTACCTATATACGATGTGGAAATTCGTAGAGCAGAATTGGGCGTTGGGCAATGGTTTGTTGCGGTTCGACGAATAAATATACACTGATTGCAAGCATTTCATAACGATACGATTACAATATCCAGAGATAATCCCCTATGGGAAAGCCGCATAGAATTTAAACATCCACACAATGCTTCATCAATGCTCAGCCATAAACGCGAACCTCAAACGCGTCATATTTTCCGGCACTTTCAGCTAGGGCAGCAACAAGCTCTTTGTGCGCACATGCCTCTGCTCACAATTTTAAAACTCTCACGCTGCATTCACAACTAGACGCTTGCATCTGATCTCACGATTCACGAGTATCGTCATCCTCTCGCATCTTCCTCATTGATTCCACATATCCTACATCTATTCTTATCCTCGCGGTGCTGAAAGCCAGGTATTCGGATCACTTCGACGACCCTAGCAGAGAACCATCCAGCTTATTTTATGTAACTCATGACTCCTCACCACTTTTATGGATTTCTCGTTAAACCGTTACATCACTGTCTTCATTCTATCCACCGTCACACGGCGTCTTCTTTCTCTCCATCCATCGCGCACAGTCTCCTCAGACATCCTGCGGTGGAAAATAGCCTTCCGGTGCGGCCGCATTGAACACCACCATTACAAGCACGAGCAGCAGATAGGTGACGAGCGACACCCACCAGAGCACGCGCTCCCAGCGCAGTAGGCGCAGGTTACGCAGCGCCACGTGACCCATGAGCAGACCGGCCAGCGCTCCCGCCAGGTGGGCCGTATACGCCACCTTGTTGCCCGTCTCGGTGCCGTAGCGATTGTAGATAGCCACTCCGACATCCGTACCAGCCAGCAGTAGAAGAATACCAAGCCGTACGAAGGCAAACTCCATCTCCGCCCAGTTGAGGACCAGGTCGGCCAGGTGGGCAGTGAGCAGCGCGTACACCCCGCCCGAGGCGCCGGCCAGGAACACGCGCGGGTCGAGTACAGACGTGGCCAGGGAGCCGGCCAGCACGCCGCAGAGGTAGACGATGCCGACGCGCCACCACTTGTGGACCAGCTCCAACGGCAGGCCGACCAGTAACTGGACGATCAGGTTGTAGACGATGTGCACCCAGCCGACGTGGACCAGCATGTAGGTGAGGAGGCGCCACACCTCACGGCGCCGGTACGGGCTGTAGATGAGCGGCGACTCGGGATCCACCGGGCCGCTGGCGGTGATACCGCCGAGCCGCACCCCGTCGTAGATGAACAGAACCAGCTGAATGGTAGAAAGGAGCGGGATTACGATAGGAGGAGGACGGCAGTCATACTGACGGAGATACGTGGGCGGCCGCCGGCTGCGCGGCACCACACTTTTGCAGGCGGTGTTGAGGAGGCCCTTGTCGCCCCGACAGGTGCCCTCACTAAGCTCAGAGTCTACCCTCGCTCGACCGCCCTCCCCCATGGTGGGAGGACTGCGGACCGAGCGGTCCAGCGGCGGAAGGCGGGGCACTGCGGCTTTGTAGACCCCGGGGGGACGTGACCGGTCGCTGGCGACGATGATCACGGAGCGGGTGATGTTGAAGGGCTGAGTGGCGACTGAGATCGGGGGTAGCGCCGACGGGCGAGGCGGCCGGTACGGCGGCGTGCGGGGTGTGCCCGAAATGGCTGGTAGTCGATGTAGGCAGTGGACGAGCTATCAGTTTTCTGTAAGCTTCTCAGTGCTCACCTATCACCAGTCTCCCATATCACTTTTATATTCTTCACGCACTTTTCGTTGTCCGAGTGACTTCACCGTTCATTCGTTACTCCACCAGCGTCTAGCACCACTGCCTCACCTGGTATCACATTCACAAGCACCACCTTCACCAGCAGCAGTCCAGCTCCAGCACTAACACCACCGCCGTGTGCCTCGAACCGGTGCCCGGGGCCGCCACTGCGCCACTGTCACGGCGCGTTACCACGGTGATGGACCACGCTGGATTCCTGACACACAGACAGACAGACATACACACACGGATCGATGGCACAGTGGTGACCGGTGAACCATGCCGACACCTGGCCCGGCCCTGTCCGGCCCGGCGCCCACTCAGTCATTAACAAAGAATACACACTAGATGTAGTGGCGGCCCGACGCTTCCAGGAACCTCGGGCTGAGGAATGTGGAAAGGCCGTGGAGCCGCGCAAAAGCGACATTTATCGAATCTTTGTGATAGGCGGTGTTAAAATGACGTAGTAGATTTAACAATTCGAGCAGCGTACCCAACATTGTTATTTAGCCAGCGTCAACATGGCTTATATCGGCAATTAGTCTACCAGCTTCGCATCGCAGCAAAACATGCCAGGTTTCATTGGCATTCGCTATTGTACAGGTCGATAATAATTCTGTATTCCACAGCATCGTTACTGAAATTGTACCTCAGCTTCGACCTCAGCATCGACCGGTGCGGTCCTAAATTGAATAAAGCCGACTGGGTTCGGAGAAACGCTTCACGGACTGGTGGCTGATATACCAGCGAACTGAAGGCCGATGGACTCATTATCGCATCGGCCATGTTTTACAGATGAGTCACATAATCCCTCCCCAGATGATGTCGGAAATGCCTTTCGCCGAGTCCGTCTGCCTTCCGACGTTTATCCAGAAAACTCGGTCTACCCTGAACGTAAACGGTTACGGTTGCAACGCCGGCAGCTGAGCCAACTAGGTGTGACCCAGATCAACTACCGGTTGTGACTATAGCGCCCACCGTATTGCTTACGTAGCTATGGACGAATCAAAGCGGGAATATGACAGGCATTCCACAGTCTCCTCATAGCTAAACATATGACTGTTAAATTACTTGCTTACTCATCTGACTTTAATCAGAAGTCGTGCTATGTATTCTTGCAACGAAAAATGACCAACTGTGTCTCCCCCAGTCGGTCCAGGAAACTGCAACACAGCATGACCGACTATTCAGCATTCATGTTCAAGAGCGGGTCCAATAATCGATACATCGATGACATATTCAGAGTTCCAGTTCTGGGCCGTCGACACAGATTCTACGAACGAGCGCTGCAGCTGTGGTGTAGACCGACCGACAGATCGTTACGGGTCGGCTGTTGCTGCAATAGGTCGCGCTGTTGGCTAGCTACACGAGTGTTGGCGATGACACGAAGTGTCACAAGTATGTTGAAACTTCTTCGATCTCAAGATAAGAGGGCGTTGTTGACCTTCGCAGAATGCCACCGAGGTTTAAGGGTTTATACCTGATCAGTATAGTGTGTATTTTGATCCCTTGCCACCAATTATAAGTAGATTTGCTACCCCGCATCGGGACACTGCTCGTCACAAAAAGCTGTGGCAATACCAAATCGCGTGCGCGACATTTCGACTGTTTTCTTACTAGGTCTGTTTTGTTGCAAATCTGATGCCATTCCCCGTAAAAACAATACAATCCCCCTCCTTCCCATGTCACAAGCACAAAGCCATCGGAAACATTTTATTACGAAATATTCGGATATACTTATATATACGTATATGTATAATGTTCACACGTCAGCGACAATGGACTCACGGACGTTGTGCGCACGCGCCGACGACCGAGCCGTCGGCGCGGGCCGGCCGGTCGGCAGTCCTCAATGTACACTGTACAAACTCAACAACGAAACACCAGCGCACCGGTATCACATGTATATAGCGCCCACGGCCGGCCAGGCGCGCGGCGGGGCGGCGGCGCCGGTCCGCCCCGCCGGGGTACCGGGAGAGCGCGAGCACGCGCCGCTCCCCGACACACCGCGGCGCGTAGAAAACAGAGCGACCAGCGCCGCGTCCGTCGTCCGCGCCGGCCGGGCGACACACACAGAAGGGAAGGAAGGGAGGAGGGCGAGCGCCGGCCCGACGCGCCTGACATCTGCCGGCCGCCGGACCAACTGCAGTGTGGCGCCGTCGCCGCCAGAGGTCCACCGCACTGAACAGTAACCACACAGACACAGTTCCCAGGTAGCTCACGATCCTAGGCGCACGCACTCCCTAAACGCACACAAAGGACGCTCACACGCGGACACATACACAGGCGCACACTGCGCGAGGGTGCGCCTCAGCGGGCTCCACTCTGCGCGGGTCCTCCCTAGGCCTTTTGCGTCCCAGTTCGGTGTGGTGCATAGCCGGCCGACCACCGGTCGTCAAGGATCTGCCCCGCGCGGACCATAAAACCGGTGCCGTCAGGGTCATCAGTGACCTGCGACCTGCACCAGTGCCCAGATCGGAGCACCGCCACGCTGGGAGGACGTGCGGCCCGCGCAGAAAGGCTACTGGACACCCCCGAGGAACAACCACATTCCGTTCACACTCGCACATACACACACAGAAGCCCGATCCTTCGTCAACAAATCAGAATCGATTAAAACGATTGCATGATAAATTTCCTATAAAACGCGGATAGCACAGGCAGGCGTCGCTGGACTGAAACGGCAGGGAGCGGTCGACACAGAGCTGAAATCTCAGAGGCGTGGAGTATATCCGGGTTGAAACTGGGGGCGCTCGGAGAGGCGCGGCGGCGCCCCGGCAGGCTCGCGCGGCAGCCAGCGGCTGGTCCGACGCCGGGTCTACTACACAGTCCGTGCCGCGGGGCGCCGCCCGCACGCGGAAACCTACAGCCTCGCACGCACGATCACAGGCACGCGCCAGCCGGCAGCACAGCACTCCCTCACTCGCACGAGACTGGGCCGCCGCCCCACAGAATATAAACGAATCGGGACTGTGTGCAGAGACTTGAACACAAACCAAGTAGAAAAGTCAACACGCCCGAGCCGGTCGGCAGCGACGCCGGTCCGGGGGGCGAAATGGCACCGTGGGGACTAGTAGAAAATGTAGGCGAAGTACGACACGACAGCACCCTCGAGTCCGTCTAACGCGACACTGAAGACCCGGCGCGGCGCCAGCGCCTCCCCGCTGACTAGCATTCCACTCGCGCCACAGGAGCGCAGCGCCGTGCCCGCCATCTAGTAGCGCAGGTAGAGGTATTAGTTCATACAATCGGCACCAGGCGTCCGGCGCGTAGCACACGTTGCGCTTGATACGCTCCAATTTCGCTAGTTCCCGCCGTTGGCACTTCTCGTACAATTTGAGTCCAAATCAGTGCCATAGATCTTACCGGCCTTCTTTGCCATCTTGCCGAGCATGTCTAGCGAGGTCTTGTGGGTAGACCGGAGGCTCAGAACCCACTCCTTCAGGCCGATCTCATCCTGGGGAAAAACAGCGTGCGGGGGTGAGAGCTTCGCAGAAAAACAGCGACGCACTCGGAACGTTTATTGGTGGCACACTCACAGCTATATCAAATTGCCGTCAGCCGGCCCAATTTATGAGTGTATGGAGGGGAAATATTTATGGGACGCGGCTGAATTTATGGGGAGAGAGGCCCACAAATCACCATATTCCCGAGTGGCAAACGGAGAACCGATCATCATACCGCACAACCGGGCTCAAGGAAACTCAACATAGCCCTCCTCCATCAGGAAACTGGTCTGCTCCTTCAGACATCTAAGCATATCTCACTTCAACACATTGGGAGTCAAGCACCATATCAACTTTGAGCCACCCAATCAAACCGTAACACCCACCACGCCACATATCAAATGTCCTCTCCAAAAACACCCTGCATGAACACATAGTGTCCAACCTCCCCCTCTTCAGCTTCCTTACCGAGTTGGTGAGCACCACCTTGCCCTCCTTGGTCTTGATGACGATGCTCTGTTCGCCCTTGACGTGCTGCAGCTCGGCAGCTATCTCTTCCACTTGGTCCATGAAGAGCAGCTCCGGCTTGCTACTGCCCGACTCGGGATGCAGCTCCAGCCGGTTGGGGTAGAGCTTGGCGTACCGCGTCTGCCACGCCGAGGCGAACGGACCGCCCAGCTTCTTCACGTAACCGTGCAGGATACAGTCGGACTCTGCCGGATAGGCAGCGGTGTCAATATACAGTCGGACCCTGCCGGGTAGGCAACGGTGTCAATATACATACAGTCGGACTCTGCGGATGAGCAGGGGTGTCAATATATGTACAGTAGGACCCTGCCGGATAGGCAACGGTGTTAGAATACAGCCTGGCCTTGTGGGTGGCCCGTGGGGCACACTGGAGGCTTGGAAATCTAAATCCGAATGCAATAAGAATGCATGAGAGAAACAAATACGATATGGTGGGGACACTAAAAGTATGATTTTAGCAGTGAACAGTAGGTAGCAGCAGGACCACGGACAACCACGAAGAGGTTTAACAACACTGATAAATGCAAAGACTAAAACAGGCATGGGTGGTTCCTAGTTGACACAGTTCGACTGCTAGAAAGCATAATTATGGAATTACTTTATATCTTCAAATGCGAAGCACCAGACTTAATTAAAACTAAAACCGTCTAACTCCTCGGAATATAATGGGCTTGGAAGGTCAATGGCCTATGGTCAAATAATAAAATGAACAAAAACTCGCTGTACCAAATTGGGCGAAGCTCCAGAAACTGTTCGCCCACACAAGCAGACTACACGAGAAGACGCCAACTAAGCGGTCTGACGGCGGGAGCGAAATAATTTCATTTTATGTTTCATTTTCGTTCATTTCAAATGAACTGAGATCACACAGCCACCAATTCTAGTAGTTAGTCGCTGCAGCAAATTGGTGCTACATATGAACTGAAGATGAACAGGCCCCAAGAAGCTCAGTAGCGAGATGTAAAGCACGATTTACACCGCCTTAAAGCTGCCACATCAAAAGACTGGATATGAACTATAAAACCCCGGGGAAATCAATGCCGAGATTGTGTATATGAGTTATATATTTTATTTCCTGCATGCAATAGAGTCATAGAAATGAGGCAACGAGACAATGTCTCAGGAGTGTAATATGGATCCCGCATAATTGCTTTGAAACTATTACCAGTAAAACGCCTTTTGGGCGAAGAACGAGCGAGCGAGATAGTGAGCCCTGCACGTGCAGAAGGGCGAGAGGGTACTTCCAACGGGCTTGTGCAAAGCACCCTTCTAACCGGTCGCTAGCGGTGTACCAAATTTGAACGCAATCGGCCCAGCCGTTCCTGAGATCTGGAAGCGGCATTCTGCACGTGCGCACGTGCAAACGGGGTCCAAAATGACTTTTGCACGGCACCCTACTAACCGGTCCCTAACCGTGTACCAAATTTGAGCGCAATCGGCCCAGCCGTTCTCGAGATCTGGAAACGCCCCCTGCACGTGCGCACGTGCAGTAGCACCCTAACCGCAACACATGGGAATGCATTGCCTGGTGGGTGCCTACCTGTATGCCAAGTTTCAGCGAAATCGCCCCAGTAATTACCGAGTTACTGAAATGGGAACAAATTTGGCACCTCTTATTGTTGTATTTTGCACGTGCAGTGGGGGTCACTCACATAGATGAAGAGTATCCGACCTTTGGTAGAAGGGATGCAGCTACCCTATAAAAATGACCGCAAGATAATCGCTCAAGCCGCTGCTGAGATATGGGCCTCCCAAAATCATTACTTTTGCAAAACTGCTTGAACACCCTTGACTTTTCACGTGGCACGTGCCACGGCGGTCACTGAGATGTATCAAAAGTAGTCAATTACGGGGTAGAAGGGATGGGGCTACCAAGCAAAAAAGACCGCAGGCCATTCGGTCCAGCGGTTGCTGAGATATAAGCCTCTCAAAAGCGTTACAGGCCGGGCCGGGCCGGGCCGGGCCGCTCATACTGAGATTTTTCCGTTATATTGAAAAGACTTCGCTTCGCTCGCTGCGCTCGCTCGCTCGTAATAAACGTTGTATAGTTTTCCTACGAACACTATTTCAATTTGCGAAAGAAATTCATATCAACACCATAAAATTCGCAAGTTCATATGATCTTCAGAGCTTTCACCCAGACGTTGTCAAACTTAATAACACTTCCTTTCTGTTTCGGCAGTCATCCAGCAACAGTCAATCGAAGCTCCACCGAAAGAACCCAACTACAACAGTCCGGCTTTACCCAACAAACAGACTCCCGTCATGTTGGCACGCTCAACACTCCACCAACTTTAAATGAACACTGGAAGAGTCGCTCGAAGCGCGCTACAAAGTCGTGACCGAACACACACACAGCCAGGAAAAGCGGGAACGACAAACAGACAACTAAATCATCTCTTTCTGTGCACACTTTCCGCTCAATTCAGTCATCACAAATTGATGCAACATTCATTCTGAATTCATTATCCTTCACCAAAATCCATCAAGCTCCTTTCAACACTATTTCATTCCATCCGTTCACGATTACAGCCCATCACAACTAACCTTTTATCCCACCCAGCCTTCCTTCTCCCAACCTCTCTCTCTCTCTCTCTCTCTCTCTCTCTCTCTCTCTCTCTCTCTCTCTCTCTCTCTCTCTCTCTCTCTCTCTCTCTCTCTCTCTCTCTCTCCTCTCTCTCTCTCTCTCTCTCTCTCTCTCCCTCCCTCTCTCTCTCTCTCTCTCTCTCTCTCTCTCTCTCTCTCTCTCTCTCTCTCTCTCTCTCTCTCTCCCCTCCCTCCCTCGTTCTCACCCCTCTCGTCGGCGTCGAAGCGCTGTTTGTGCTTGGAGCGTTTCTTCTGCTCCAGTTTGTCGGCCTCTGCGTTCACCGTGTCAAACACCGTCTCGGCTACCTCGCTCTGCCACCGCTCCGAGATAACCAGCGGGAAGTTTTTGTACAGGTCCTGATCCTGGTCGGTCAGCTGGCGACACAGGTCATCAGAGGTCATACAGGGCGGGGTCAACAGGGGTCACACAGGGCAGGGTCATCAGAGGTCACACGGGTTCTGATCCTGGTCGGTAAGATTTCACAGAGGGTGGGGTCATGAAAAAATTGCATAGGGAGCAGGGCCATGGAGAAGAAGAGGGCCTGAGATTGACGACGGTAGAATCATGGGACGTAAGACGACACAGGGGACAGTCTTATAAAGCGCAGAGGAAAACAGATTCGGATGACATGGTTGAAGAGAACATCCGTCCTTAGAAATGGGAAGGTCGGTCGATATGAGACACGGAAGATGAGGATACTACCACAAACAAAAGCATAAATTAGTCATCACTTTGCAATTTTTCATTTACAGCACACTGCCAGCAAATGTCAAATGTCCATTGGCAGGGGAAAAGAATACCGAACAGCTCAAAAGTGCGCAGTGAAACTCCGGAGTAATAGTGTGAAGGAAAGTGGCACACCCGGCGCGGCCCACTGGCTGGCTCTCAGCACCGATTCAATTAGACTGCCGTTTTGCATTACTGAGAGCGCCATCAAAGCAGCACGGAAGCACAAGTCTCGAGCAGTAGCCACTTAGGCGGGCGGTGGCCTGAAAGGTTCTCCCTAACCGGGTCCGAACGGGACGTAGCGAGTCGTTAGGTTGGCCGCACGGGCCCGCCCATTAGCACTATCGGCCCGGCACCGCACCAACACGGTCGGATCATTTCCGCCGCCATCGACCGGGGGGTGCGGCGGGGCGACTTTAGCCGGCCGGCCGCACCACTTATCGGCCGCCGGGGCCGCGCCGGGCGTTATGAGCAACAGTGCAGCGGCCACTTACAGCCAGAAACGAAATGGAACCAGCGTCATCAACGCAAATGGGGAAATAGCGACTATTGGGCCCGCGGTATCAGCGAACTTGGGATGTCACGAGACTAAGTAAGGGCTCAGCCGAGTTCACCCGATGAACTTTGGAAATCAGATTCATCGAAAGTTTGCAAGAGTCGTTCACCCAGCATATTGACTTTGAAAGGAGGCGGCGACGAATGCTGTCAACTGCTAAATTACATTTCAACTTTCATTCTACCGCATTATCAGCGTAAAACTGCCTCATCGCATCATAGCAGAGACCCTCCAATATCACAACAGCAGAAATGGTGGATTCCACCACAAAAAAACATATCTTTGATTCAGGAAGATCCTGAAGAAGCCTTATTCAGGAAGTCTCCCATGCATTGGTGAATTATTCAGATTCCAAATTGTCATCAACAATTTTGTTACGATCTATGAGCCCAGTAAGTCCAGCGACCGAAGTGTGAATTATGATACCACTGGATCTCTATAAAGTATATGGAGCTGATCTAGGGTCGCAATGGATCTCCAAGCTGCATCCATGAAATCAAAGTCCAAATTCGCTTTTTGGAATCCATGCCAATGGCTTCCTGACAGCAATGAGCACCACTGTCGGCATCTTCAAAACATTCTTTCTCTCCACAGCTACGGACAATTGGCAGAAAAACAAATAATTCTCTTTCGCGCGACTTTATAAGCAAAACACAATCCGGCACTTACAATACCTTCCCTGGCGAATGACAAAATCAATCACCTTTCTGTTATAACTATCTTACAGACCACCCCTGAAAAGGCTATGTACCCCTTTGCAGTGCGTGTGTCGTGGAACTCACTTTGATACCCTTGGTGTCCTCCTCGTCAAACGATCCAATGTCGAACGCGTCAGCGGCGTTCACCTCGCCCCGGGGCGGTATCAGGGGCGGCGTGTAGCGCTGCAGGTATACCTGCTTCCAGTCCAGGTCACGGAAGAACGGGTGCTCCTTCACCTCCTCCGCTCTGCAGGGAGAGGTGGGCGGTGGGGGTGGGGTTAGGGGCATTGGGGAGAGAAAGACCGGCAGGATAGACAGTCAGACAGGCAGGCAGACACACATACAGACAAAAAGACAGACAAACAAGCAGACACACAGGCATGACCATGATTCACTGTGACAGGCACGACAGAATTGATTGAGGCCAAAGTTAAAATCAGATGACCATGAAAACCGTAACGACTAAGCCTCAATCTTACCCGCACACACAACCCGACAACATTCCTTCTCCAAGACCCAACAAAGACGCACTTCTGGAGGCATTCGAAGCCCCGCTCTCTCGGCCAATGGGTTCGGTCGCTATGACACGCCGATCCAACTCCAGACACATTTCTCGCAGCTGCGACCACCAGATAGCGGCAATTATAGTGAGGTACGACGCTGGACGGTGGTCTAGTGGTGGGGCAGTGACCCAGGCTGGTCGAAGAGGTGGCTGGGTTGGTGGTGGATAACTAGCTTGACCGAGGTTGAGGAGTGAGATGGATATTTATCGGACAGTGGGATAGTGGGCTGGTTGGTAGGCTGAATACTAGTGAATGGTGGTAGAGTACCCAACCACAATAATTGTTAAAAAGCAAGCAGGATAGTGATGATTGATGAAACAGTGAAGCGAAAAACTGCACACATCACTCACGAGACTCATCTAAGGCAGATAGTAAATACAGGGCAAGCCACCACGCGTCGCTCGACAACAAACGGCACATCGACGGAGTAAAGCCGCCTTCCAGCGCGGAAGCGTTTCCAACCGAACTGGCAATCATCTCCGAACGACAGCTCCATCACCGAGTCCGTGAACGAAATTTACAGCCATCGTGGCCCATCAGTCCTAATGGCGCTGATGACATTTCAGCGCGCCCATCTCCAGCGTTCCCACTGACCCGGCTATCATCTGACCCGATCGCCGACGCCTTCGTTTCCGTCTCCGTCTCGGTATCCGCCTTTACGGTCTCACCGGGCACGTATCTGCTTTCACGCTCTCCGTCTTCGTCTCAAATGCCGTCACCGGCCGATCGACCGAGCCGTCAGCCGGAGCTGGGCAGAGTGGGGGCGGAGAGAGTGAGGAGAGGTGGCTGAATGCGAGCGAAGGTGGCCCAGAGGTCGCCGGCGAGCTGTGAGGTAATGGATAATGGGCAGCGCTACGACACTGAGTGAGTGGTAGCTGGCACACCGAGGACTAAGAAAGAGAGGATGAGCCGGTGCCGGTCACAGACAAATTACCTTTTATTTGTAATGTAGTTTGAAATCATCTTCAGTTGGCTGTCTCTGCCCCCGCCTAACACTTAACGCATCAACAGGAGACTCACCCATTGAGCACCGAAGCAGCTCGAACCAAAACTGCAATCGACGGCAGATGATCACCCCACTGTAACCTATCTGCTACACACAGCCCGGCCAAGCCGTCATCATACACACAGCTCACGACTCCGAAGAGCCGCTCGTTTCCCTCTCAACCTCACAAAACATTCGTCAGTCGCCGACCATTTCACGAGACAGACCGCCAACCAACGCTCCCCAGAGCCAGCTGTCGTCTGGGTCTGGCCATTCACACAGACCTAGCAACGGACAGCACTCTCCAGCCAGCCCCCAGGGCTCTCAGCAGTCACCAAGGGTTCGCAGCCGTCATCAGCGTTCCGCGAACGGAAGCGGGCTTCGCCGCGAGCTATGTCGGCAGGCCAAAGGTCGCGGGTGAGCCGCTCAGAGGCCCGAGGGCGACGTAGGTGTGCACCAGAGCCGCGGGCGCCCGGCGACAGACCCAAACGGCGGGCGATGGGCTTCGACGAACGCTGACAGAACGAATATGGAGGCTGAAAAGGTTCCTGGAGGTGACACAATGGCACCACAGACGCGTGGGAGATAAAAAGGAGCACATAACCAACGAAAACAAAACAACTGCGTGTGATGGCAGATTACTTCAAACTCATTCCAAAACCAGCTCAGTTGGGCCAAGCGACCAAGGAGATGGGCTTTACCGTACAAAATCGCCCTGTTCTCCGGTGAAGATGCCAACGAGCAGCAAGGCGCCTTTCGACACAGGACCTACGGTGGAGCGTTTCAGCTACGCTACGCTTGTGAAGCAGAACGGTGAAGCTATAGGTAGAGCTAAAAACAGATGTATACTTGGGTTCTGCCTCTGTCTAAGCGCCTGGCAATAATAAATTCCCCTCGCCGACTTCACAAGCCAGCGGTCGTATGTATCCAGCGCTTTCAACACAGAATGGAAACCTTGAATCGACAGTCGACCTGCAACAATTCAAACCCAGCAAACTACAGAAAACCAATCCACCGAGACGGCACTGAAACAAAAACAAGCACCACACTGCAAAACAAACATTGAAAACAACCAGCGACAAACAAAACACTTCACTCGACGCACACACAAACACTCGAGCTGGGCACCAAACATTCAGCTCGTGCCGGCCTAATTAACGGTGTGCTCCGTCGCAGTGGCGCTCACCAATATACCTATAAACACGCGCTCACCAATATACCTATAAACACGCGCTCACCCGCGTCCGAGGCAGCCGAGCCGCTTGTCGACGTCGCGCTGCAGCAGACCCTCGAGCAGGGAGCGCAGTTCGGGTGAGAACGTGTCCGGCAGCTCGACGTTCATTGTGAGAGTCATCCGGTCAATCTCGTGCTTGTCCTGTGAGTGACACATGGGGTCAGGCACAAAATGGGAAGACAGGGTCCGGGTCTAAGCAAATCTAGTGGGGAATGTGCATATTACACAACACAAAAACCTGTCTGAGCAAGGGGAATACCAGACTTTATCAAAAGTAAAGTACGGAACCCGGATATTGGGGCACATTTCTCTCGTTAGTATTTAAAAGTGTGACATAGTGGGAAAACACCGAATCATGGACATTTGACATGAGGGAACGTTCGCTCCAATTCTGCGATCAGTTTCGGCCATCTCTCACAGAACACTGGGTCAGGGATTCCCCAGCTGACTGATCACTGATCAATCAAATCCTCGGGAAAATACCAAATTAGCCAAATATCCGACCTAGTTCCAAATGCGTTCCGCAGCTAATCACGTCAGTCTTTTTCCACCCTCCTAACATAGCCATCACTGTCCTGTTCCGGGCTGGCGGTCACCCCCAATGGTAGCCGCTGATGATAGCTCTTATGACAGTGAACATTATCAGGGCGACTATACACGTGGCTCGCTGACTAGCTCTCGAGCACGACTGAGACGAGACAGCGCACCAACTGATGGCCGTTTCAGACTAGTGTCTCCCTTCTTACGACCCTGAAATGGTCACGGTAGACCAAAAGGGCCTATATCAACAAAGCAAAACAAACAAAAGCGGATCAGTCTCCTAAAGGAAACTGTTCCCCTTTGGTTTGCAATATACCCTTCCCCACCCGGTTCCTAAAACACCCGCCATACAGTTCGCAAATATGGCCCAAAACAAGCCCGCACGGCCCGTAACCCGCCCGTACGGCCCGTACTGGGTCCGTGCGCCGATGACGTGTTCCTGTACGAGGCCGTGGCGACTGATCGACTCACGCCGCCGGGCCATTGGGCGTGGGCCAAACGGTTGTCCAGGGGCCGTCACTAGGCCCAGTGCCGAACGGCTGATCATTGACGGAGGGATTCGCCGCCGGCGTTAGTGACTGGTTGTAGAGGTGGGAGGAAGGAGAGAGGAGAGAGGAGGGAAGAGAGAGGAGAGAGGAGAGAGGAGAGAGGAGAGAGGAGAGAGGAGTGAGGAGTGAGGAGTGAGGAGAGAGGAGAGAGAGAGAGAGAGAGAGAGAGAGAGAGAGAGAGAGGAGAGAGAGAGAGAGAGAGAGAGAGAGAGAGAGAGAGAGAGAGAGAGAGAGAGAGAGAGAGAGAGAGAGAAAGAGAGAGGTGATGAGTGCATAGAGGACCTTTGAAGTTCTCGGAGGTGTCACACTCAGAATTTCGAGCCCCGATTCAGAGAATATCGCAAACGAATGCAAGCATCGACGAGCGGTGACTCCAATCAAACTCAAACACATTTCCAGCAGGTGACTGGGGAATTCAGCCAATCGCCATGCAGACGCCACGCCGCAGGCTTGTCTGGCGGCTGTCGAAATTTGGCCGCGAACGGGTCGTATGTATGACCACTGTGCGGCGGTCACGGGTCCCCAGGGCACAGTGTGGTGGGTAGTATCCGCTGAGCAGGCGCTACTCGACAGACGGAGTCCGTTTGAGGTGGTAGGCCCACAGCGATAGTTACTGTGAAATATGGAGCGTCTGTCGTCACAGAGCCAAGCCGGCCAGCGGGCGACCGTCCGGGACGGAGTCGCCTCTTGTTCGACGCTATTTTCAATCAAGAGATCAAAACGCTTTGGTCGAGGGCGGCTAGAAATAATGCCCTGCATTGCAGTATTGGATCTTATTATATCGCTCATATACTTCGAAGGCATCCATCTCTTTTTAGTTCAATTGCAACAGTCAGCTTGCAAATGGAGAAGCTAATCCATCCGATTTCAAGCTAAGCTTGGCGTTACGTAAGCCAGCCCCAGACGCAGAATCTCAAATCTTCTGTAACAGGCCGGTGACATTTAAGCCGATTCGAGGAGCGACCGTTCGCCTCAGCTCGCGACCGTTCCCATCCAGTCTAGTCTCTCTATTCCGGTCTAGTCTCTACAGTCTAGTCTCCCAGTCTAGTCTCTCATTATTGGCCAGGCTTGCACACCGTGCGAAGGACTACCTCTGCGGTGTACTGTATGTCAGGGGAACAATAATGCGATCGTTAGCAGAACCCCGTGTTTGTCAGGCTTTCACGTTGACATTTGCATAGACCCATTCTAGCCGGATCTCGACCCTTTTCTCTTTCCCACATCCTAGTCGGCACTCGGCCCTTCAATACCGCAGTGGACACTCTTCTCCTTCACCGGACGACTTCACATCAACCGGCTACCTAAGCCAGGCTGACTCAACTTCTTTTATCCTGTCGAACCAGCATGTCCTGCATTACTTCCTGCCTGTCCATCCACCGTTATTGTGTCTTCCTTAGATACGAGCCATCGCGCCTACCACACTCCCCCCCCCTTCATCCGCTAGTAACCCCCTATTATCCAGAAGCCATTGCTGGAGCCACATCTCTGCGACACAGCAATTCCGCCATTACGGCACTGTGCTCAACACTCATTGCGAAATTCCACACGACCTCATAGGCCGCCCTACCACCACCGCCACCCAGTCCAGCATCACCCTGACCGCTCGCCGCCGGAGCCGGAGCCGCCAGCGCCGCCGCTCCAGGGCGGAGAATCGATCGGTCCCGCCACTATGGCCGCCTCTCCCGGCAGCAGAGCGCGAGAGGAGCGGAGAGAGAGAGAGGGAGAGAGGCCGGCCGGCAGCAGGCAGGTGCGCACTGGCCGCAGGCAGAGCTGATATGATTTTCGGTGATAGACAGCTACGTAGTTCCAGGGGAATGTGGTTGTAACGCTAGCGTGAAAGTCGTTTAGTGGAGTCGCTGCTGCCATGGTATTCCCCGAGTGATATAAGCTACCCTCAGACAGACGCGAACGATCGAAGATTAATAAATCACAGCACTGTGACCCTTCTACCCACCCTCACTCATTTTCCCACCTTTGACCTCGCAAGACCGCTCGGCAACAGCTGGTCAGTTTCAGGCCACGCCCCCCCGGCCAGGCCACGCCCCCCCGGCCAGGCCACGCCCCAGCCTGTCCCAGCGGGCCGATCAGAGGGCATATCTCAGTCGGAGGCAGCGCCGACGTAGGCCACCCTGAGATACACTGACCCCACGGGACCCGGCGCTCGAGGTCAGGCGAAGGTCGCGAGCTATTGCCTGCCTCCTCTCGCACTGCGGAGGCTGAAAAACCTACCGCGGCGGGACTGTACGTAAAGAGCTCGCCAATTAGCGTCACTTAGCTCAGCTGCGGCCCGGGAACCAGTTTGGAAGTTTCGCAATCGGGAAATTACATCTCATAAGAAAAGGGAAGAGTAGAAGTTGTTTTTGACCTAAAACAGACGAAAAGGATTTGGAATATTCTTAGTGCATAAAGCACACGGACGAATACGCCAAATAAAGAAAAGGAAAACAGTTTTCCAAGCCGAGAGGGAAATTTACGGCGCATTTTCAGCTATGGCAGCTAAACGCCCATGTGAAGCCACTAACAATTTCACACATTTATCATCATCTTTGGTCACCATTTGCCTTTAAAGTGGCCTGCCAGCCACCCCTCACCCCTCCCCTCTTTTCCTAACCGTGCCGCTCTGTCTCCATGGCCTAGGAGCCGTCAGGGGTGTCATCGCGTCGTCTCACCTTGGTCTTATGTTGCCGGAACGGACTGTGGCCTTTGAGCAGTTTGTAGAGCATGCAGCCGTGACTGAACCAGTCTGCGCTGCTGTCATACACCTGTCCCTTGGCCAGCACCTCGGGAGCCATGTAACCGTGAGTGCCGCTGAAAGCAAAGTAGGCAGGTCAGCGACATATGTGAAATGTAGGGCAGCAGGTCGGCGTCATAGGTCAAACGCAGTGCCATGAGTTAACGTGATAGGTCAAGCCAAGGGCCACAGGTTAAATGTGGGACCACAATATATACCCCAAAGTCAAACGCAGGGCTACACGTCCATGTCATATACCAAAGGCAGCGCCAAAGACCCTATCATCGTACGGGTCAAATTCCTATGTAAACAAGGGTCTGAAGGCTAATGTCATAGGTCAACGCAGGACCGCATTTCAACGTCGGCTCTTAAACGCAGGGCAAAAGGACAACCTAGGTCCACTAAAGCCATTTAGGACAAAGTCCTACAAACTGCCTTTCGCCATACCGAAAACGTGGAACATGGCGAGTGAAGAGATGGTGGCACATAGCGGTAATGAATATGCCCCAGATTGCCCCTATTCGACTCGTCGTGAGGCATACAGTAACCCAGTACCGTGCAGCTGCTCTGGGTGTAAGGGCCAGCACGGAGCGTGCAAGCCCTGCACAAGACAACAACCTTGTCGATTGGATCGAGACGTAAGCACACGGCTACCACCTAGAGACAGTCT